AGGTACGAATTTCAGGCCTGAGTGAATTATGGGCATTGAAACTACCGAATATTTAGGTCAACATGAAACTCATCTTGCTCGATATGGGCACATTTACCTCCTTTGTCTTCCAGTCTGATGACACAATCTTTTCCCCGCGCAACAATTCGGAGCCTCCCGGTCCAGTCTGGAGCGTCCAGCTTCCATTCTGACGCTCTATAAGAACAGACAAAATCCTCTCAGCCACCTTTCCATTGTGTTAGCGGGCCAGGGCTGTAACTTTGTGCCAGAAATTTGGGGGGGGTTGGAACTGTGGGGGATGACTTGCCCCGACTTGGATAAGTGAAAAGTGGGAAAGAGGAGGTCTGACACCATATGGCACTCTATAGGGGGCGATGTTCATGATACAGATGTGCATCTGCAGAAAGTGCCATTTCTACAGAATCTTAAATCAGAATTGCCTATTTATCACTTTGTTTACTGTTCTCCTCTCTGAGCGTTACTGAATACATTCTGGATGGTGGGTGAATATGTAAAAAAAATAGTCCAAAAAACTCTTCACAATCTGCCTTAATTTTCGTTCTTCTTCCGCTTTCTGAGGGCTGAAATATCCTCGGCATTGGGGTAAAACAGCAGCGTACATCACGCGACGAACTTGACGAAGAGGTGTGAACATAGACGAATTAATTAGCGAATGGAATTTGGCTCCTTGACCTGGACGAAGATTTTGATAGATCTGGATGCATCTCAGTATATTTACAATGGCCGGTTCTGGTGACCAGACAAGCAGTGAATTGTCAGCTGATTTGAAACAAAATAATCCTTACACTGTAGCTAGGGTAGAGGTACTGCATGGGTGATTTTGCACAATGGTAGAAAGGCAGTGCCTTGAAGGCTTGTGCTAGATCAGTCATGCGGTATTAGAAATATAAGGCTTAATTAATGGCATGGCCCAACTCAGCGGTGGTCATTCGCCATGTTCACCAAAACACCGGTAAGAAAATTGTGGATGTTTAACTTTAATTAAAATGTTGTCAAATTTAGCTCAACTAGAGCAGTAACGATTAAAGAATAGATGGTCAAGGTCACAATGTCATATACCTTTTTTAAAAAGTAGGTTTTGTTTCCTTATTATACTAGAAATAGGGTGCTAATGTGATTGAATAGGGCATGGACATGATGGAAGTGGGCCTACCCCCCAGGCTCCATGAAGAACAGGACAACCATAATTATGACCAAGGCCAGTTCCGGACTTACCGGTAACCTCTGTTACTTGTTCTTGGCGGAATTCTAGTGAAAACTTGAACCTCAGGCTTAACACACAAAACACGCTCATAAACGTCTGTAGACATTTTCCTTTGCTATAAACGGCTAATGTAAGTGGAAATTAATGAAAAATATTCTGCCGAGCAGCAGACACATTGGCCGCAGGATGCGGAGGGTATCATACTAGATGACTGGTGCCATGTACGACCGGCCAATAAAATAACTGATAGGTCGATTACCAATGAAGACTATTTAATATGAGCCCGAAGAGGGCGTTGGACAACATTCACAGAAATGTACGAGTTAGGCAGGGTGCAGTCCACTGTTCAAGTCCCATTGTAAATGTGAACAGTTGGAAAGGCTCGGAAATCGCAATTTCCTAAGCCGAATTCCGACGGCAGATTGAACATATGATTTACAATTACCATGTTACGCAGAATAATATGATACATTATTTCTGCAAGGTAGCTGTCTGTAGCAGTTTCATTTGCTTCTCACCCAGTTCAGTCTCTCAGTGATGGAAGCATGGATCCGGTCGCTCACGTAACCTTGCTCCTGTTGATATCGACGAATCTAGCCTTTTCTCAAGAGCTTACAGGGCCGAACGTTTGCGCTGAAAGGTATGTTGCATTATAAAGTGTGATTTAAACACTTAGCTGTGATGAACAATATAACCAGATATCAATTTTTTCCCGGCACTCAGGAGTAATACAGACGAACCGTTAGCCAGTTTATTATAGCCGCGGTTGTTGCACCATGGAGAAATAATGGTTGCACTGAGTAAATAGGAACAACAGTCATTTAAAAAACTACATGTACGATGTATTTTCAACGTTTGGATGCACTTAAATTAGCTGCTGATATAAGAGTGGAATTTTCATTACATGACCACACTACCACCATCACATTATTATTAATTCTCTTTTCAAAATTTCACTGGCAGTGCGGGTGTCAGTGACATCATATATAATTGAAATGAATTACAGCACCGGTAGTTTTCTGACGATAAAATTACTGTCACTCAATTGGAGAGTGAATGATGACAGTCACTCCTCGTGGCTAATTTACGTCAATGTACTCGTAAAAACCAGTTTTCATTTGATACAGACATCATGATCGCTCTCCAAATATCAAACGATGAAGCAAAAAGTGTGATTAATTCTATCATGTCTATTGTACATGAAGAAATAGGTTACCTTACTTACAGGGGCGGACCTGGGGGAAGAGGGTGGCCCATGTCCCCTTTCACCAAAATAAATAAATTATAAGTAAAACGAGAAGAAAAGGAGAGAGGGGCAAAAAAGGGGGAAGGTCCCAGCCCCATAAATGTGACAAAGATGGAGCAGGTGTTACACACACAATGGAACAGTGCGGTTACCGTTACCCAGTCTCCCTAATTTTACGGATGTGACCCTAAAATCTTTAGTTTACCCCCCCTTTGCATGTAAACACAGTTTATTAAGAGCATGTGTTGTTTTCCTCTTTTTATAATAGATTTTTCCTGGCATGAAACTTAAAATTAAACGTTAAGATATCACTAATGCCGCTTGCTGTAAACACCATAAATAATGGAGTGTCTGAATTGAAATGTTGTAAGGGCTTTTTCAATATAACAACAAGCCCAAGACGAGACAAATTTATTGCAGTTAGGGCAAGTTAGAATCAATGCTAGAAACTCGAATTATCCCCGCGCCTGGAATGGAAACCAACCAAATCAACCGTCCAAACCAATCAAACCGCGCAACTGAACAGTAAATTTCCCTTTACTTCGAACACCTTTTTCGATGTGAAACGCAAGACTAGCGCGGTAAGGGTGGCAAACGAGCCGTTTTAATGTTTCGGCAGCCTGGACATTGTTAGCAATGCAAATTTCGGGGTTTTCAAGTTTATAAAAGACACAATTGCATGAAAAGTTCAAAGTGCAGTCTCTTGTTCTACTGAGGACCTACATGTAAACCGACACTTGTCTATGTGTAAAACTATGAAGTATGCATGTTTTAAGAAAACTTGGAAAATCATACTTGACTGTGTTATTTTCCTCATCTTTCTGAAGTGTCACTCGCAGGAAGACCAAACAAGTAGAACACACGACTTACACTTACAATTGCCAACTTGGCCAGCAGACATGCAGTGTTACACGGTATGTCTTTTAACCAAATAATAAAATAATTGGCAGATGAAATGTTTAGCGATATTCTGTTAATTTTTATTTAATTAAGTGTCCTTCGGCGTAGCATTGTTGAAATGCGTCATATTTTGGCAAGTAGTAAATGAACGCATCGATTCCGTTTCTTCTTTGGTAAAGGAGTATAACCGTCTATTACACAGACTACGAGTCTCGCCAGATTTGTTGTAAAGGATGGCTACGTAATGAGAGCAACTGCTTAACACGTGAGTTATTTGAAACGAGGCATTTACTGTTATGTAAGTTTTTAAGCCAATTAGTCTGGAGAGCCCCTCGACAGGAATCTTTTTCTTTTGGGCAATCCATCGGGGACTGTTGGATTTTGTCCTTTGTTCCATCATGTACAAGTATGCTTTACTGTCTGTTTTGTTTAGCTGTGTTTCCCGAGAAATGAAAAAAATAAATAAATAAAATAATGTTGATCTTTTTTAACTATCAGCTAGGGCAGGTTCTATGCAGATTATTACGTCCATTTTGCTTGCTTGCTCGTTCAGCTTGTCCACTCAAAACCTATGGACAAAACTGCACTGGTACCTGCGACTGCACCTCAGCAAACAGCCACTGCGATCCCATTTACGGGTGTATTTGTGATACCGGGTGGAAACCTCCTAACTGCAGCCAGCCATGTGATTCTTATGCATACGGCTTCGCGTGTGCGAAGAACTGCACCTGTCTAAATGAAGCGACCTGTGATCCAGTAAACGGGTCTTGTTCCTGCACTCCTGGTTGGATGGATTCTGATTGCAGTAAGGCTTGTCCAGCTGATCGATTTGGGGCTAACTGTTTAGAGGAATGTTCCTGTGACACTGGTGTAACGTGTGATCGTGTCACAGGTAACTGCATACTCCCGGAAGTCACCTCTGCAGCCCTGGAGGTCACAAACAACCCTGTAGAAGGTAGGACCATTCACATTGATCTGATCAATGGCAGACCTACTGGACTGAGATCAGTAAAAAAGGGTGAATGCCCTAAATTATACAGACAAAACGACAAAAAGCATCCTCAGCTCACATTTGAGAAGAACAACCCCCTTGATATTTTGTGGATATTTTCCATCCGTCCTAAAAAAAGCACAATGAATTCTGGGCAGGTAAAGATTGAGTCAGGATCTTTCCTCTGAGTCCAAAACCATGCGTTGTGGTGATACTTTATCAGGTGAGAATTGCAGTTGAGTAGTATTTTACTGGTGATCCGTTTAACTTGAACTAGATTTTATTTTTAAAAGTACCCCCAAAGAACTGGTCAGCAAGACAGTGTACGGCTCCATCGGTATTGATCTTTCTAATTTTTAAAATATCAATAGCAATTTCCCTCGAATGAACAAATTTCGGGGGAACTACCATTTGGATTCTTCATACTAGGGTTTCCAATTTATGAAACTTAATTGACTGTCATTATGATAATTACAGCTTGTGCGTCGTTGGTATTTCTTTATAATGGCATCGATGAAGGTAGAGGGCACTATTTGCTTAAAATCTTATTCTGGAACACTTTTCAACTTTCAAAGTATGTCTCTATTGCTAAACCCCCCTTTTATCTAAAATATTTTATTAATTTCGAAGCCAAATGAAGTGTGCGGCGGTTTTTACTTTAATGAACAAATAACGGTGTACGTCCGGCGCGGTTACTCCTGTTGACCACGAGTAGTATGCGTGCGCACCAGCTGCGTACCAGATCTCCGGCGAACTCTCACCCTTTCCTGTATTTAAAAATATGAAGCAAAAGAATCCGTATGAAGTTTAGATTGGAGTTTTCTCTTTGACAAACTTATCCATTTTTTAAATCGTATTAGACACACCCCAGGGAAAGTGTCAGTGCTATTGTGTTTAAAGTGTAGATGCTTTTCATTTCTGGAAAATGCATTTGAAAAGTTGGCGCACATTATTAATGGAGTCATCTCNCCCCATGCTTTCTGAGGTGGGGGATGGCCTATGGAATCATCTCCCACATTTGTGTGATAAGCACAACACATTAAGCGTGTTGTGAAGATTTTTTTCAATCCCATTCACGGATGTAGTTGTGAACAAATTTTGGATAAACTACCGTTTGGATTCTTCATACCAGGGTTTCCAATTTATAAAATTGACTGTCATTATGATAATTACAGCTGGTGCATCGTTGGTATTTCTTGATAATGGCATCGATGAAGGTAGAGGGCACAACTTACTTAAAATCTTATTCTGCAACTTTTTTCAACTTTCAAAGTATAGTTCTATTGCTAAATCCCCCTTTTATCTAAACTATTTTATTGAATTGGAAGCCAAATGAAGTGCGGTTTTTATTTTAATGAACAAATAATGGTGTACGTCCGGCGCGGTTACTCTTGTTGACCACGAGTAGTATGCGTGCGCATTACGCTCGGGTCACATTTTACGAAGGGTTAAACGCAACGCAGCCATATCTCCATGCCGTGCCATTTCCACGTTTCTGTTGGAATTCTCATGTCATTTAGAAATTATTTCCTTCACAAAGGTTAAAGTCAGTCTCGGTGACGCGAAACAAATTTCTCTTTGAGCAAGCATGATGTCACTTATGGCAATTATGGCATTCTGTTCACAGAGTGACAGTTTGAACACAGTACCACTTGTCTTTCAAATTTTGAGCGGGCTGAAGCTAGCGGATTATTTTTTGCTCGTAAGCGGTAGAAGTCGACAATGTTAACAAAAATTAGTCATTTCGACAAAAAACGTTAGTCCAGCTCTATATCTAAAATTAATGACCAATTCAAATTAGTCAGACAGGCCAATGACTAAGTCATCTATTAGTCAAATTTGACCAGTGTCAGTCACTGTTGACTATAGTCTTGTCTTGGTTTAATGCCATCGAGACCCGACGTACCTATATTACTCATTTTGATCATAAAATGGCTAACTTTTGTATACAGTGAATGGCTTCCCCTTTTCTACAATAAAGTGCATAATTCACCTTAGCCTACTACATGTATCTTCACGGTGTGAGAGCCTATTTTTAATGATCAATATTGAGAAAGGAGCGTTGAGCTTCTGTGGTGAGAGCAAACGGAATTTCATATCCGACAGTTTTCGACATTGCCACCGCAATAACCAGAGATTCGGGAACAACATAACTTTTTCCCCCAATCTGGCGAAAAGAAATATGCACTTTAGTGTAGGCCTATTACGTAACAGCATATTGGTAGGCATGTGCATTTACATTTTGCATGCTGCATCTATTATTTCAAAGTATAATTACTAGTGTAGCGGTCCGGCCCCCGGCCGATTGCTCGGGGGCGGCGGTCCGTCCGCCACTGAAGGGGGAATTGGAGGTCAGGCAGGCAAAAAGAAGGTTCAGCAGGCACTGAAAGACAAGGGTGTTCAAGCGGACTGGATTTTTTTAATTTCGCCATCACTATAATCACAACTGCTTGGACAATTAAAACCGGTGCTAATCTATGTGATTCCCGGTCAAGCCATCACGACGTCCATCCACCGAGTCGTCTCGCACAGCACTCCTTGCTCTCCCAAATAAACCATGGAAACCCGCCCAACTTCAGTGCCGCCAAAAAGTATCACGTTGTAGGCCACTTCCGGCCGACAGGCAAGACTTGTAGAAAATCCTTGTACTGTACATGTACATGTACATTCTGTGCACGTGGGCCCAATCACGCCTTGAAGACGTGCACAAGGTTCAAAGGTCACACAATTCGTTAAATTAGATGGGGAATTCCCAGATCCCTACACTAGAGATTGGTTATTACTATAGACTTTGACTAGTGTTTAAATGAGTCTCAGCGCGTGGTCTATTTTGAGGTGCACGGGGTGGAGCTGCGGACCAGAACTCTCACCCGTCCTGTGTTAAAAAAATGAAGCAAAAGAAAATGTACGAAGTTGAGATTGGAATTTTCTCTTTGACACAATTATCTTTTTTAAAATCTGTAACAGACACACCCAGTGTCAGTGCTATTGTGTTTAAAGTGTAGATGCTTTTCATTTCTGGAAAATGCATTTGAAAAGTTGCCGCACATTAGGCCAAGTGAGCACATCACCGAAACCTGTACAGATTCCTGGTGGCTCTGTGATTTGATTTCTTACCAGATCATCGTCTCGTCATAATCATTGTTCCGTTGATTGTGGGTTTCGCTGTGATCCTCAGTGCAGTCGCTGGCATAATGGGACATGTCATCAGACGACTAAATCGGCGCTTTAGGGAGTGAGTATCACCCGCGTATCATTTCAGATAAGGTGTGGAAAAGTCATTTTTCCTCAGTGTGAACCATATCAAAAAAGCTGATCCCAGCAGGCCTATGAAAATCACGACCGGCCGACAATACAGCGCCGATGTAGTCGTTGACGTTGACAAAAATCATAATATCATTCGTCTCATTCGAATAATTACCAGTTAAACTAAATATTCCCAGGAAATCCCAATTGACTTTAAGCAAACAATTCAAATCGGGTCGATGAGACCAAACCCCCAAACGGTATAACCATATTTTCTAGGACAAAATCGCCAGAAACTGTTGTCATGCACAGACTGTATTTGAGTTGTTTTTTATTTAAGAGTTTAGAAAATCTTTGCTTTGTTCTGTTAACAGGTTGAAAAGAAAAACTGAAAAAGGAGAACACACTCGTGTGGCAGGTGATTATTATGCATGAATTTTCCTCCCCGCTGCAACTTTCATAATTATATAGAAAAATATGAAATATTTGTAGTCAAGGCAACATCATAAGATCTTGACTTTATATTACCAAAAAAGGATAGTGCGTAGTTATACCGAGGAACTACGTTTTCGACACCGTATTCAGTTGTAAGAGTGCTTAACAGTATTTTAGCTCGCACTTAAGTGTGTGGAGTGAATTCATCGTGGTTAATTCATTGAATACAAATTGTTCGACAACCACAGATGGCAACAACGCTTCCTCGTCTGGCAATTTTCCCAACGTGCTCTGGTCGCAGATAGCAGCACATGATTTGGAGGAAAGAAATGTGGAATATGAAACAACAATCGGTCCCTCAGGTAGTGCTGTCGAGGCAGGGAGCCCCATTTATTTCGACGCGGACGACAAAGAGACAGACCGCAGAGATTATGGTAAAACACCCGTGCATGTTTTATCACTAATAAACTTTAACAGTCAGGTGCGCCAGCAAAATGAGGTGACGTTGATAACACACAACAAAAATCCTGTGGTGGTTTATTAATCCGGTTCTTAAGTGACTTCGTCACAAAGGCGGCAAGCTTAACGATTTGCAGGCTCCCATTGGACGATCGCTGAAATTGCGCGTTAACTTCCGGTTCCATGGTTGACCGTAAACGGCGATCAATGCATGTAACTCTATGTGCAGTGCATGTGCAGTGGGCGTGGTTTAAACTGAAGTGACGTCACACTTACGAACCGGATAGGCCTACTCATTCGGTTGAACTTTGGAGAGTATTGTGTCAAGGGGAGTTACTGCTATCCATTCAGTGTAGCACTGGATACCGAAACTGAAGCCAAAGCCTACATGCATGTATAACATTAGATACTAAAAAATCCATCTAAACATGTGACAGTATCCCAAGACATAAAGATGATACTTTACATTTAAAATGCAGTGAGCACCCATATTGAAGTGCTACACTCTAAAACGTCCGGGTCAGATTGACCCAGAATTGGGTCCCATCCGGTATAACCCTTTTCCGGGTCAAATTATGACCCAGAAAGGGTCAAATATGACCCAAAAAGGGTGAAATATGATCCGAAAGGGGGTCATATTTTGGCCCAGAGAAGAATTATACCGAATAAGACCCAATTCTGGGTCAATCTGACCCGGAAGTTTTTAGAGTGTAATTGAACGTGAATATCCGCTCTTCCAATGTCTGGAAATGAATATTATCCCCCCTCTCTTTTGCATTCCATTCAGGGTCAAGAAGTAATCCAGGCAATTCCAAGACCCAAGGCTGCGCAGAGACGATGGATAATATCGAGCATACATATTTCATGCGAGATTTGGACGACTAATAATCGATAACAGACTAAACAAACCATCCCTAATAAAAATCGTTTATGCATCTTTCGTGCTTTGATTGTAACATCGTTTGCTCATCGGAATAGGCAAATAGTTTAACATTTTGTTAATTACTTAAGTATAGAAGAAAGTTATGCTTATAAATTTGTATAATAATTGTACATAACATGCATTGTTATTGTGGAGGGCTAATTGCCCTGTGTGGAAACACTCCTTGTAGATAACAAACTAATGTGCTGTTGCTCTTGTATTGGTGATAGTCTCAACCAAACATAATGTTCAGCGTTTTTATAAATTGGGAGGGAAATAGGTTCCTTTTTTGTGTTTAATACTGGGGATTGTAACTCCTGATGAACTTAAACATTAAGTTTTGCTATTCGGTTCAGCCGAAGACCAGAAACAGACCGACAGTCGTTATCCGAAGACTCAAACTACTAACTTACTAGTTGATCTGCAAGTTGGGGATAAACAACAATTTGACGTGCACAAACCAGTACAAACTCTTCTGATTGCAAGAACAGGTTTGACATAAGACATTTTAGCCAGCTGCGCAAACCGTGACCATCCACATGTTCCTGGTTTATTTACTAGATCATGCATCTGGAAATATGTTGATTTACTGTATACATAGATTTCACGGCCTGCGTGCGCCATCTTTATTTTCTGTATCAGTAGAAGGGAGTCTGTTGTATTTTGCTCTCTCTTTTGAAGATGGTGAAATAAACGCCAGTTTAACCAGATGGATTTTGTTTTGTGATATCTTTACGGTGAATAATTGAAAATACTTTCTCCAATGTTGTAGTGCTCTCGGTAGCCGAGATCTCGGAAACAAACATGTTTTGATGTGAAATACCACACAGTTTATTTGTGTCAAGTTCGGGGAACTTGAACGAAAAGTTTTGAAATTATGTCAAGATAGTGTTAGGATCCCCCAAACAAACATTCACACCACTACCTCTTGGGGTCACTGCTGGCGTCATCATGATGCAAGGACAAGAGAGGTCATGCGTGTCAGTCTTCAGACATCATGTTTGCAACTTTTTAAGAAAATTGGCCACAAAATGGGGAAAGGTGAAGCGGTTACACTTTACACGAGGTATGGCGGCCTGGGGGTCATGTCATTTATGCTTATGAATTTTGCATATTCATAAGCAAAAGAGGGATGTCATCGTGGGAAGAAAAAACTCAATGTTACGTTGGTTTGTGAAAAACAGAAACTAGTGAATTTCCTTTTCTTTTCTATTTCACTGTTACTCAAGTACATAGCAATGAGCCAGCGATCAGCCCCTTTTCCAGAAATATTTTCTGTAACTAAATTCCCCCTTCACAACGACGAAAACCTCTGTACAGAACTATATCCGTAGTTGTCAACAACGCCCCCAATTGTTTAGTAAAGCAAGGGCGAATTGGAATGCCTAAAAAGTATCATTTTAAATCACTTAACCTAAATGGAGATATGATAGTTTTAATACACGAAACACACGTATAAAATTTGAAAGAAAAAAATCATCTCGAAAAATAATTAACTGCTACCAAAGTAATATTATAAAAGGAGTAGAAATTGCATTCTTTGTTGCGTAATGCCAGTAAATATTTGGAGGGCGCCCTCTAGATTTTTGTTTGAAATCGGAGAATCACTCTTTAGTTCCTCTGTTGTCAGCATGGACCGGTTTGCTCAGTGGTCGTTTCTCTTAATGATGTTGATAAATTTAGCCGATTTTCAAGAGCTCACTGGACCTAACGTTTGCGCTGAAAGGTATGATGTCTGTTTTATCGAATTGTGTTTCAAAGTCCACTGTGTAACGTATTTCATCTTTTGCTACAACAAAGTATTTTGAGGATTTGTGAGCTTTACACTGTATGTGTGTATGTGAACACAGAATAGGGAGATCGAGTCTTTATACGGGGAGTTTTTGACAAGTTGGCTGGGTGGAGCTTCTTGTAACTTCTGTTTGGGCGGCGGTGCCCAGATGCTTTACATGCAAAGCTTGCGGTGAGACGCGCTAAATTAGAGGTGTAATTGTTGGGTCTCAAAGCAGCATAGCAATGATTGATATGATTTTTGATCAGCCATTACAAGTGTATGAAATGGAGAGGCCAAGTGAAAGCCCCTTGATTTACTGGCTGAAGGCGTGAAAGGAGAATATCAGACGGAAACGCTGATGGATTGAGGTTTTAACATTAATTGTCAAGTTAACTAGGATGAAACGCTTTCATGTAATAGTAACCTGTGAGGTTTCAAGTTTTAGTTTTATTAATTCTGACTGAATTTTAAAAGTGTAGCACAGGAATCTGACTGAAAAGCTGATGGAATGTAAAGTTAACTAAGGTAGTAGTATTTGACTACCTGTAATTCTAACGTAAGCGCACTTTATTAAAATCTTTCCTGTTGCATAAACAGATAAAGAGCACGTGTTTTTTGCGTCATTTCACAATCGATTGTTTTCCGGAATAAAAGTTTAAATTAAACTTTAAGATATTATTAATGCAGCTTGCTAAACACACCATAAAAGAATGGAGTGTCTGATTTGCTTTTTCAATGTTACATTAATTTCCCAAGGAGAAGAATTATCACAGTTAGGACAAGTTAGAATCAATGCAAGAAACTCGAATTATCCCAGCACCTGGAATGCAACTCGACCCACTCAACCGTCCCAAACCAATCCAACATAAACTAGAATGTAATTTAACAGTACTTTTCCCTTTATTTGGCCCAGTTATTTCGATGTGAAGCGCAAGACGAGCCGGGTAACGGTGGCAAATGAGTCGTTTCAATGCTCCGGCAGCCTGGCGATCGAAAGGGTTTCAAATTAATGCTATAATAAAAGACACAATTGCATGAAATGTTCAAGTAGTCTCTTGTCCTAGGACCTATATGCAAACTGACATTTGTCGATGCGTAAACGCACTTACTATGAAGTGTACTTGTATTAAGAATATCTAGTTAAATCACACTTGACTGCCTTATTTTCCTCATCTTTTCTGAAGTGTCACTCTCGGGAAGACT